AGTTGCTTCAGTTTTTCAAGAGAAATTGTAAGTCCAGATTTTTTTTTTTGCTTTTTTACATTTTATTTTACTTTTTATTTTTATAAAAATATATTTTTATTGATATACTAAAACTGGAATGATACAGAGAAGATTAGCATGGCCCCTGTGCAAGGATGACACGCAAATTCGTAAATCCAGATTTTTAAAGTAAACGCTTTGAATTTTAAACGTTGACTCCCTTTTTAAAAAATCGGAACAAACTTGTGGCCATGTGAGCCTACCTCCCAGGGTCAACCTGCTCTGTTTTGGTGCCATGTCTCCTCCGGGTGATGGAAACTACTGTCCAGGACTAGCAGTGACCCTCTTCCTTCCTGGATTAATTGGAGATCAGGGAATATTAATTTAATTTATAAAATTACTAAGTGTGGTGAATAGATTTCTTGCAGAAGTTATTCTTAATGTAAATTTAACATTTGGAACAAATTTTGGAGACTTAATTCTTAAGTAATAGTTCACAAAATCCTTGGAACTTTAGTCTCTGAATGTTTTCCAGATTCTCCATGGATTGGTTTCTTGTTGTCCTAATATGTATTACTTGACAATATCCGTGGCATAAACAATAAGGATATGTTTCATCAGAAGCAGCTTTGCTCTTCCTGCTTTGTTTTCTGTTCTTTGTTTTGTTTTTCAAGGCGAGAGAAAACAAGCAGTCTTTTCCCTTCTAAAGACTGTCATTCTCTTCTCTTTACCTAGAGGCACCACCTTGAAAAGCAGTATATTTTACAGTGTTCTGGTATCCTCTAGAACTGCACTGTATACTGTGGTAGCCACATGTGACTACTTAAATTTCAATTAATTAAATAGAAGTCAAATGAAAAATTCAGTCCCTCAGTCACATTGGCCACATTTCCAATGCTCATTGGGTGGTACTGGCAAGTGAGAGCCTATTGTGCGCATCTCTTCCTGGCTCAGCGATCAGTGATGCCACCTTGGTAGCTTGGACCTGGTCATGGTGAGGGTATTTATGTTGTGGAGATGACATAAGACCTGGCTTGTGTGTGCTTGTGAGTCGGTTGTTAAACATTTACCAGCGCACCACTGTCAATAGCCACCTGTGGCTAGTGGGTACCCTATTGGACATCCCAGAATATTTCTATCATCACAGAGAGTTCGAGTGGGCAGTAATGCTCTAGAACACCGGTCACCAACCGGTGGTCCGAGGACCACTGGTGGTCCATGAGGTCCAAAAGGTTGGCAACCGCTAGATTAAGGAAACCTTTGGAGCAGCATTCGCCAACCGGTGGACTGCAGACTACTGGTGGTCAGTGAGGTCCGAAAGGCTGACGACCGCTGCTCTAGAAGGTGTAGTTTGTGAGCTCCCTCCAGTCATTATAGACAAGAAAGAAAACAATCTCAAAGGAAAACTTATTGGTCTGATATGAATAAAATATAATGGCTGTGTTCCCCTTCGTGGGTCCCCAAGCATTGGGCATTTTTCATTACAAAGTCACTCTACAGTGAATCCAGATAAAAACTTAAGCTATTCTTGGCAGCTTAATCCAGTTACAGAGATTTATATATTTCCAAGGATGCCCAAATGATTAATGCAATCCATTCAAGGTGGTAAAAATAAAAGTTTTAGTCTTAACTTTTAAAAAGAAAATCTCGGAGGCCTACATATGTCATAGGGTTTGTTTTCCTCTGATCAGCAGAGTACACTGATTATTTAGAATAAGCCTCTTAAAACCATAAGAACTCTGTGTCTACCTAGAGATACTGCCTAAAAACTAATACAAGATTTATCTTACAGATATCAGACTTAATCGCAGGCGCTACCAGAGATCTAAGGCTGGAAGTGGCCGCTCTTGAAAAAAAGCTCCATGAATCCCATGTCCAATATACTGAAGAATCTGAGTCAAAGGAGAAGGAAATTGAAAACCTTAAAAATCTGGTTGCAGAATTTGAGTCTCGCTTGAAGAAGGAAATTGACAATAGTGACTGCGCTTCAGCGGACTTGAGGAAGGAAATGAAACAGAAGTCTGATGAACTGGAAAGAGTGCTGCTGGAACAGACACAGCTGACACGGCAGTTTCAGCAGTCCCAGCAAGAGGTAGGACAGACCACGGCACCACTGCTGTTAGAGAGAGAGCACATGTTCCTTCAAAAAACAAACAAGCAAACAAACAAACACAAACATAAAAGACAGCTTGGTGTCAGGCAAAAAGTTCTGGACTGTTAGTCAGGGGCCAGGGATCACATCCTGGTTTTGTCCTTAACTAGACAGTCACTTAACCTTTCGGAACTGGCTTCCTTTTCTGTAAAATGAATATATCGAACTACATAATCGCTAAGGTTTTCTCACCACCCAGTTCTACTGTGTTGCAAACGACCTTTTAAAACATCTGAGACTAGTCATCTTTATATGTCTTGCTGGTTTTGACATTAAATTTTTGCCAAAAAAAATCTTTTAGAGCACTTGCTGCTTTTAGTTCAGATCATGTTTGGACAATATATCTTACATGTGCTTTTTCTTTAAGGATTTATCTTTCTGTCAATCTAAATTTATAAGGTAATTTACATGTGTTGGTCTTCTTTCTTATGTGTGCATAATTATTTTAGCAGTGTTTTTATTTAAACTGGAGTAGACATATTTTGATTAATTTTTTTTTTCTAACAAAAGTCTGATTTCTGAACTGCTAGGCAGAAACAAACATAGATTGAATGTTTATGTCCCTTAAAAAGTCATGAAACCTAAGTTCCAATGTGATGATTATTGAGAGGCGGGGACTTTGGGAGGTATTTAAGTTACGAAGGTAGAGCCTTGATGAACGGATTAGTAACCTTATAAAAAGAGAACCAGAGAGCTCCTTTATTCCTCCCACCATGTGAGGACATGGGAGGGAACACCTATGAACCAGGAAGCAAGTCCTCACCAGACACCAAGTCTGCTTGTGACTTGATCATGAATTTCCCAGCCTCTGGAGCTATGAGAACTAAATTCTATTTGTTTTTTGAGCCACTCCGTCTATGGTACTTTGTTATAGCAACCTGAACTGACTAAGACAGTTGAGCAATTAATCTACTCTCCAATCACCAAAGTTATGTCACATCAGAATATGTGATCCCATGTATGACAGTATAGCAAATAAAGGCAAATGGAGGAAGGTTCTGAATGTTAATGACAAGTAATATTTTTGTTGGTTTTATGGGCATCTTACTAAAGGAATAAAAAGAAAGTGCTAGTAATAACATTGACTATTAACAACTAAATATACCATGTTCTTGCTGTATTTAAATTATCAAGCAAAGTAAAAAGTATATGCCATCATTATACTCGTAAAGTGAATCTTTTGCAAAGTAGTCATTAAAGTAAGTCAAAATGGGAATGGACAGAATGCTGGGTCAAGAGCAATGCCTAAAGAGCCCTAAAAAGTAGAAATTATTTCCGTGTTATAAATGAGGAACTGACTCAAGAAGATTGAATAACTTCTAGAAGGTCACACAGCATGGTGGAGCCAACATTCATTGATAACAGTGTTTCCTCTTTCAGGAAGCCTGAGTTACAGCGATTCTGCTTCTAAGTTTCATGACCCCTGGTCTTAGCACTCATCTCCAAGCCTCATTTATTTCATTTTTTTTTTTTACTTTAAAATGACAGTAAACACACTACTTATTCTGCCAGATACTTAGTGGATCAGATGATTGAGTGTCTCCTGTTGGAACAGGGCAGCACAGTGTCCCTAGTAAAGGAGCTGCCTCACCAGTGCAGGCAGGGGTGAGGGGAGGCACACAGGACTCAGCTCCGCTGGAGAAACCCTGAGAGGGAGAGAGGTGACGCAATTTTGCTAAAAATGAGACAGGGGTGTTGAAGTTCTAGAGGAGGGACAGCAGGTTAAAGGAGAGAGAGGTCAAGGCATCTAGACCAGCAGGTTTTCTAATTTCCCAGGCTCTAGAATTGTAAGAATCCCCAAAGAAATGACAACGTGGAAAGTGAGGAACAATTTATAAACTAGGACAAGTAGAAAAAGACAGGTCAAATTCACAAAATATATATTGAGCATCTATCCAGGTACCAGACCCTGTGCTGGGTATTAGATCCGCCATTATGAACAAGACTGACACAGCCATTCTCTGCTCTCAAAGAGGACTTTAAAGAAAGTTTTGAGTAATTAAATTGAAATCAAGAGGAAAGAATGGCCTAAACAGAAACTTACCATATAAAAAGGATAGACTAAAGTTAAAAAATTGTCCTTAAGGGCCTATATTAGTTTTCCATTGTTGCACAATAACTAGCCTTAAATTCAGTGGTTTCAAACAACAAACATTTATTATCTCACTAGAGGCCCGGTGCACAAAATTCATGCACGGGGTGGGGGAGTCCCCTCAGCCCAGCCTGCACCCTCTCCAATCTGGGACCTCTCGGGAAACTGGAATTGGGCCTAAACCAGCAGTTGGACGTCCCTCTCACTATCTGGGACTGCTGGCTAACTGCTCACCTACCTGCCTGCCTGACCACCCCTAGCTGGCCCCTTTGCCAGCCTTGATCACCCCTAACCGCCTCTGCCTGCCAGCCTGGTTGCCCCTAACTGCCCCCCCCCGCTGGCCTGGTCACCCCCAACTGCCCCCCCTGCTGGCCTGGTTGTCCCCAACTGCCCCCCCTGCTGGACTGGTTGCCCCCAAATGCCCCCCCTGCCAACCTGGTCGCCCCACACAGCCTGCTTTTCAGTCATTTGGTTGTCCCTCACTAACCCCCTTGCCAGCCTGGTCACTCCATGCAGCCTGCTGTTCCGTCATTTGGTCGTCCCTCACTAACCCCCCTGCCAGCCTGGTTGCCCCATGCAGCCTGCTATTTGGTCATTACTGTTACTGTGACGGTGTCCCGGACAATTTGTATACCACTCTATTATTAGTATAGATAATTTCTGTAGGTCAAGTATCTGAATGTGGCTTAGCTGGGTGCCCCTGGCTCAAGGCCTCTCATGAAGTTGGTATTTGGTTGTCAGGGGCTGCCATTTCAAACAAAGGCTCAATTTGGGGAGGACTGACTTCCAGGCTTACTTTGTGGTTGTGAGCAGGATTTATTTCCTCATGGCTCTTGGGCTCAGAGTCTCAGCACCTTGCCAGAGGCCTCCCTCAGTTCCTTATAGCATAGACCTCTCCATAGAGCAGCTCACCACAGGGCAGCTGGCTTCCCTCAGAGCAAGCATGTGAGCAAGAATGAGAGAGTGCAAAAGAGGGTGCCCAAGAGAGAAGCCACAGTCTTCTTGTAATCTAATCTCGGAGTGACATTCCATTGCTTCTGCTGAATTCTACTCATCATAAACGAGTCAAGAAGCCCAGCCCACAGTCAGAGCAAAGGGATTGCACATGAGTGAGAATAGCAGGAGGGCAGGCACAGAGGGCCATTTTAGGGCTACCAATCTCAGGGCCCCTGGAGGTAATTTTGGCAAGAGAAATGACTAAAAGTGAACAGTGAATGTCGTTTTCAGACAAAAGGAGCTACATTTGGAGCTCTTCCTGCTCATTAGTTGTAAAAGGAAGCCGCTCGGGCGGAGGATGGGAAGGGCTAGAAAGGGGTCAAGGGGGAAAAGGAGACATATGTAATACTTTCAACAATAAAGATTTAAAAATATATAAAGCAGACTCTTGAAAGATACAGAAGGCCGAGATGGTATACAAATGATTATAGATCATTACTGGGGAGTAGAGAGGAATCATCCCACAGGGAAAGCTATCTAAGGACATGCCAGGGGGGCAAATTTCCTTTTGCTGGGATGAGGAGAGGGGAGGGGAGGCTAGATTTTCCAGTAGAAGTTAAACAATTATAACTGAACAGTAAGAGTAAATAATTAAGACTGCTTCTCTGGTTAAGCGTGCCACCATCCAAAATTTCTTATAAAAATGGGAAATTAGCCAATAAAAGTGATTGGCCGTACTAGTCAGAAAGAACGGAGGTTGCAGCATATAAAGTGAAAAGCACCACTATTTTGGCCGTGCATTCCAGACACTTGAAATTTCTTAGGTCCTAGAGAAGAAAAGCCACATTTAAGTGGAGAACAAATTCCCTTTAGAATGAAGATAAATTAGTGCTCTAATAAGAAAGCTAATTAAGGAGAGGAAAGTCCTGCTCTCGCTCAAGGGGCCAGAGAATGGGTGGACTCTGCTTTTCATTGTATGAAGAAAGTTCTCAAGGATAGGAGGAAAGCCGTAGCTTCTAAAGGGCAAAATGGGCATTCCTGTGTAGAGCGGGGATTATGGGAGAGCAGCCACAGAAACAAGGGTCAGGAAGGTGAAGCCACAAAGCTACAGGTCAATAAGAAGAGAGAAAATGAAAAATAAAACTGTATGGGAAATGCAAATGTGAAAGGGGGCCCTGAAAATTCCTCAGAGGGTGCGGACTCACAATAAAAAAATCACAATGTTAAAAAGAAAGGGAAGTCAGAAAAAACAACAACAACACATAAAGTGTTAGAGAATAGGACATTACCATTTAAAAGCAGGTTAAAATAGAGCACATGCTTTTCGCTGCCAGTTTTCCTTCCTACTAGCTCCATGTGAGCCCTGTCAGGACAGTGTGGCCCCACTATTATGGGCCTTGTTGTGATCCAGAAAAAGAATGTAGTAAATTTTAAAAAGCAAAGCAAAAAACCCAGTTCACGTATAACCACCAAAGGAAAACCAGTACAGAGAATTCAATATATTTTGTTGTCTTAAGGCTATAGATAAAGAAAACAAAGGGGCAGAAGTTTTAAATTCTACCAGCTCCTGTGCCATCTAATGACGATGAAAGATATTCAAAAATAGAAAGGGATGCTTTTGTTAAACATGGAGAATTGAATACATATGTTTATCTCTACTTCATCCCAAAACACCACTAAAATGACAGTAAATTAATAAAAAGTGAATAAATTCATAAGGAAAAGAAAACAAGAGAGGAGTTGACTCCAGATGAAAAAGATGTCAACTACATTTTGGAAAATGGAAAGCAGAGTATGGGTGAAAGGAAATTAGCAGACTATAGGACATTGAAACCTAATGCCTCGGGAGAATGTGGGAATGGGGTGAAATCCTAAAAGGACCAGACCCAATTATGTGCCATGGCAGTGGAAT